AAAAAAAAAAAAAAAATTTTAGTAATTATTTCTGGGTGGTGGGATTGAATGGTTTTTGCCTATTCTTTAAACACCTCCTTATATTTTATAAGATGATGTTTGAAATCAGGAAACCCTGCCCTAGAGCAGGATTCCTCAATTTTTGACACTATGGTCACTTCTGGCCAAATCATTCTTTGTTGCGTGGGTCTGTTCTGTGCATTTTGGGATGTTTAACAGAATCCCTGGCCTCTACCCTCTAGAGAGCAACCTTTCCCCAACTGTGACAACCAGAAATGTCTTCTACTTGACATTAAAAAGTCATTAAAAAGTAGTGTGACAGGGGGCCTGTGCCTCAAAAGAATAGGGCGCCAGTCCCATATACCAGAGGTGGCAGGTTCAAACCCAGCCCCGGTCAAAAACTGCAAAAAAAAAATAGTGTGACAGACAATATATAAAACTATGAACATAGCTGTATTCCAAAAGAAACTTATAAAAACAGGCAGTGGGTATGAGAGTGAATGAAAACAATGAAAACAAAAGCCCCTGGAGTCATCACCAGGCCAAGAAATGTAAGTCAGGGTTCTGCCTGTCCTTCATGGAGGCCCGAGTTTGCTCAACACAGCACATGCGTAAACTAGAGGGCAGAGTGGGAAGATAAAGCCCATGAAGGGATAAAGCCCTGCCTCAAGGGACAGGAGGGACTGAGGACACCCAGCCTGAAGAAGGCATCTCAGCTGGTAATAATCACTTTCAAATTCTTAAGAATGCCATAGTAAAAAACAAAAAAAATCTCCCAGTAATGATGTTTAAAAAAAAAAAGAATCCCTGTTGTTACTTTAAAAAATGTAATATACATATATTTAACTATATAAAAATATAAAATACACGAACATAAAGTTTGTGTGCAGTTTAGTATTTTATTTTAAACTATTTTAAATTGCACACAAACTTTATGTCCACCCTGTATATGGTCATGCCTCACTTAACGACAGGGATGTGTTCTGAGAAACATGTCATTAGGTGGTCTTGTCATTGAGAACATCAGAGTGTACTTACACAAACCTAGATGGTGTAGCCTTCTATATACCTGGACTGCATGGCGTGGCCTACTGTTCTTAGGCCACAAGCCTAAGGAGCATGTGACTAGCATGTGACTGTACCAGACTGTAGGCAACTGTTTAACACCACTGGGAAGGGTGTGTCTGAACACTGAGAGGGACATTTAAAAAAAAGGTATTGTAACCTCTTGGGACCAAATATGTGGTACACGACTATTTTCAGGTGTGCGTGCATATGTGTATGTGCGTACATGTACAAATATATCTATAGGCACATAAAAGTATGTGTACATGAAAATAAATATACTATAAATTTTTTTTTTTGAGACAGAGTCTTACTCAGTTGCCCTGGGGTTGAGTGCTGTTGCATCATAGCTCACAGCAACCTCAGATTCTTGGGCTCAAGAGATTCTCTTGCCTAAGCCTCCCTAGTAGCCGGGACTACAGGTGCCCGCCACAACATCCAGCTATTTTTTAGAGACAGGGTCTCGCTCCAGCTCAAGCTGGTCTCAAACTCCTAAACTCAGGCAATCTGCCCACCTCAGCCTCCCACAGTACTGGGATTACAGGCGTGAACCACCTCATCCAGCCATATAAAATTATTAAAAGTCTATCTCAGCTGGGTACAGTGGCTCATGCCTGTAATCTCAGAACTCTGGGAGGCTGAGCCAGCAGACTGCCTGAGCTCAGGAGTTCCAGACCAGACTGAGCCAGAGCGAGACCCCAGTCTCTAAAAAATAGCCAGGTGGCTCGGCGCCTGTGGCTCAAGCGGCTAAGGCGCCAGCCACATACACCTAAGGTGGTGGGTTCGCATCCCCAGCCGGGGCCCGCCAAACAACAATGATGGCTGCAACCAAAAAATGGCCAGGCGTTGTGGCGGGCGCCTGTAGTCCCAGCTACTTGGGAGGCGGAGGCAGGAGACTCGCTTGAGCCCAGGAGTTGGAGGTTGCTGTGAGCGTGATGCCATGGCACTCTACCCAGGGGGATAGCTTGAGGCTCCGTCTCAAAAAAAAAAAAAAATAGCCAGGTGTTGTGGTGGGTGCCTGCAGTCCCCGCTACTTGGGAGGCTGAAGTAAGAGAATCACTTGAGCCCAAGAGTCTGAGGTTGCCATGAGCTATGACACCACAGCACTCTACCAAGGGGGACAAAGTAAGACAAAAAAAAAAAGTCTATCTCAAGGACTCCTGAAGAAGGGGCATAGCTGTTCTTTGTGATTCAAAGGGGAAGAACAAGGCCCCAGGAGTGAAGGCTCCAAGTGGGAAGGCCCAGGTCTGCACTCTATCATAGGAAGAAACACCTGGCCATGCCCTGGAGCAGAAGGGTGGGAGAGCCCCACTGAGGAGGGCCTGCAAGCATGGGCTGGCCACCTTACTCACTTGGCTTAGGGACACTGCCACATGTGCTGAAGGCTGGCTGTGCTAGACTCAGAGCCCTTCCAGACCCCATAGGCTGAGGCCCCATGACTGTGGGGGGCCCAGGGCTGCATACCAGTAAGGGTCCATACCTTTGCTCTTCAAAGTGTTGGCCAGTGGCAAGAAGTAGGTGGTGAAGAAAGCAAGTCGGGTTTCCCTGACGTGGTCCCGGATGACAGGCAGCAGCCAGCTCCGTGGGAAATCTAGGGTCTCTCTGGGAGGAGAAATGGAAGGATCCAATGAGGAAGAGGTAACAGTCAGAGGGCTAGGTACCCAGCAAACATCCCCATGCTGAGCTGAGGAACAGGAGAGCCCTCCTGCATGCAGTCCCTCCTGCTAAGGCCTGCACAGCATTCATAAGACTTTAGCCCAAAGAATGGACACCCTTCCCAGAGGGAGAACACACCATCAGGCTCTCCTGGGGTTCATATGGGAGCCAACCAGGGTCATACGTACTCAGAGCCATCAATTTCCAAAGGCACGGCCTGCAATACCACCTCGGGCCCCATGCTAGTCACAGCAGCCCCCACTGCCTGGTCCAGAGCCACCGTGTGGGGGAAATGAGGGGAGAGGCGCAGGTCACACAAGGACTGGAGGCACTAGGGCAAAGAGGTGAGAGGTCACACATCAAAACAAACTCCAGGGCAGGGACCCATGCCTGAGACCTGACCAGACTCTAGAAAGATGAGCTTGAGATTCCAGGTCCGGGTTAAGTGCCACACCAGAGGGTACAAACTGACAACCCAAATAATCTACCATGTTTAATCATTCCTCAAGGCCCAAGGTTTCAAAAATTCTGTTTCTTTTAACAACATATAAACATCAGGAAATTTCATATTAATGCAGATTTCCAATTTATCTTTTTTTTTTTTTTGAGACAGAGCCTTAAGCTGTTGCCCTGGGTAGAGTGCTATGGCGTCACAGCTCACAGAAACCTCCAACTCCTGGGCTAAAGCGAGTCTCCTGCCTCCACTTCCCAAGTAGCTGGGATTACAGGTGCCCACCACAATGCCCGGCTATTTTTTGGTTGTAGCCGTCATTGTTGTTTGGCGGGCCCGGGCTGGATTTGAACCCGCCAGCTCAGGTGTATGTGGCTGGTGCCTTAGCCGTTTGAGCCCAGGTGCTGAGCCTCCAATTTATCTTTAATGGAAAGATCTGGCAAAGGTAGACCTTCATGTGACAATTAGCAAATTAGCAGGCACTGAGAAGACAAAGCTGAACCTTCCAGGGCCCCACTACCCTGAGGCCCACCAGCCTCCCTTCTTGTGGACCTGCCTGGCTTTTTTTTGAGACAGAGTCTCACTTTGTCATCCTGGTAGAGTGCCCTGGCGTCATAGCTCACAGCAAGCTCTAACTCTTGGGGCTCAAGTGATTCTCTTATCTCAGCCTCCCAAGCAGCTGGTACTACAGGTGCGCAACACAACACCTGGTTTTTTTTAGAGATGAGATCTCCCTCTAGTTCAGGCTGGACTCAAGTCTGGTGAGGTCAGGCGATCCACCCACCTCAGCCTCCCAAAGTGCTGGGGATTACAGGTGTGATCCACTGTGCCACAGTGCTCGGCCTGCCTGGCTTCTTTTAGGAAGCCTAGTGGGCCAACCTAATTTATTACACCCAGGTCAGGCCTCTTGAGGGAGACTGCCTTTCTGAGATGGCTTTTTTCCAACCAACAATGGGAGGAAGTCAGTGAGGAAGGCCCCAGGAGGCCAGAAGCTGTTCCACCTGTTGAGGGACTACTCTGGGGCCCTGTCCTCAGGTACCCACCCTCTCCCAGTGCAGGGATCCCCCAGCGATCCCTGATCCTTAAGTGCTTTACTCTGCACTGAAGTAAACCCCCCTGGGCTGTTTAAGATATCAACAATGTACTCACTTATTATAGGAAACTTAAGAGAATTAAAAATCATTAGTAAAAGGGGTGGGGGTAAAGGAGAATCAACGGGTTCCCCAAGTTTCAAAACCATTGTAAAGACTGGTGAACAGGTGGTAGCTGGGGGGACTTACCACCCCTCGTCCTGGCCCTCCAAATTAGCCCAGTCACCTTCCAGGGGACTCTGTATGTGGCACCTGCTACAGTACTGTCAGGGCAAGGGTGAAGAGGACAGAGGTAACAGACGAGTGCCCCTTCTAGGAGCCCACCTTCCAAGGGCCAAGTGCCATCCCTTGCCTTGGTCCCAGCAGTTCCCAACTCACCTTCTTCATCACAGGATGAGCCTGCCTCCCACAAACCTCAAAGAAGACACGTAATAGCTGCAACACTGAGCTCCATGTTGCGTGGAATTTGTACGTCAGGCCCTCCTCCACTGCCCTGCCAAGACAGCAGGCAACACCAGTCACATTACCCTGTGCCCACCAAGGAGAAGTCAATGGCTGGTATCATGAACTGCAGACCCCCAGCTGGCGAGCAGGGGTGGGACCTCAGGAAAGGCAAAGGACTAACATCTTGCTCTACTCCATCTCCCAAGGAAGAGCAGCCCCCTGGAGTTTGGGCAGGAATGGCCAATCAGAGTCAAAATGGGGAAGAATTGGGGCTGGGGTGGTATACTTCTACTGCTTGAGACTTTATGAAACTTCACCCCAGATGTAGCCACAGGAAACAGGCCTGTTTCCCCTTGAGGAACAGTAACCAAAGCACTAACCTTACAGGTATGCAGACACCCAGCCCCTTTCCCAGGATTACTCAAGGGTGCTTGTTGCTCTAAGGCTCCTCACTGCCCTGCTGAGAGGGCAAAGGTGGACAGTAGCCATATCTGTGAAGGAACCTTCTCACAGGTGTGGAAGGCAGCATAGCACATGAACGAGATTGGACTTTTTGGTCAGGCTGCCACTCTTGGGTAACCTCAGCTTTCCCATCTGCAAATGTAGAAGTGTCTACATTTCTGTCTCCTAGCACTTAAGGATTACTAATAGTTTATATTTATTGCATGCTTAATTACCGGTCTGAGAACTTCACATATATGACTTTATTTAATCTTCACCTCTCTGTTATTCACCTTTGATTAATGAGGTGCAGAAGAACTTGATCCAGATGACTAGGGCTTATAATCCATAGAGTCGAATTCAAACCCAGCGGGCTCCAGAGTCCAAACTCTCTTTTTTTTTTTTT